GTTTACTGAAAGGAAGAGTTAATGTTTAATTGCTTGATCAATCTGGTATGACTATGTCTGGTAATCTGCGCAACAAATTTGATAACAATATGTAATATAACAACCACTGTTAATTTTCTATTCTTGCTTTGAAATTCTGTACCTTTTTTATTATTCTATGTTCAAATTTCAACTTGGGAAATTTGCCTTTGTCTGTGTTCTTGTTATTTGTTTTTCCTCTTTAAAATAAATAAATAGGTGGTGCTGCTGGGCCTTCAGGTCTGTGTAGGGCTGCAGATGAGGGTCTATATTATACAGGATTGGTTTTGTTAAGATTGTCAAGAATGAGTTCTACTTTAAGAGATACCAAATGAAGTTTAGAAGAGGAAAAAAGGGCAAAACTGATTACTATGCTAGGAAACGCTTGGTAATACAGGATGAAAATAAGTACAACACACCTAAATACAGGATGATAGTGCATGTAACTGACAGAGATATCATTTGTCAGATTGTTTATGCCCATATTGAAGGGGATATAATAGTCTGTGCAGAATATGCATATGAACTACCAAAATGAGGTGTGAAAGTTGACCTAACAAATTATACTGCAGTGTATTGTACTGGCCTGCTGTTGGCCTGAAGGCTTCTCAATAAGTTTGGTATGAATAAGATCTATGAAGCCCAGGTGGAGGTGACTGGAGATGAATACAATGTGGAAAGCACTGATGGCAAACCTGGTGCCTTCACCTGCTATTTGGACACAGGTCTTGCCAGAACTACAACTGGCAATAAAGTTTTGGAGCCCTAAGGGGTGCTGTGGATGGATGCTTGTATGTCCCTCACAGTACCAAATGATTCCCTGAATATTATTCTGAAAGCAAGGAGTTCAATGTAGACGTACATCGAAAGCACATCATGTGTCAGAATGTCACAGATTATATGCGCTACCTAATGGTAGAAGATGAAGATGCTTACAAGAAACAGTTCTCTCAGTACATAAAGAACAATGTAACTTCAGACATGATGGAGGAGAGGTATAAGAAAGCTCATGCTGCTATATGAGAGAATCTAGTCTGTGAAAAGTAGCTGAAGAGAGAAGTTAAAAAGAAGAGGTGGAAACTGTCCCAAAATGTCCCTTGCCCATAAGAAAGATTGGGTAGCTCAAAAGAAAGCAAGCTTCCTCAGAGCTTAGGAGCAGGCTGCTGAGAGTTAAACCAAATTTCTATGAAGATTTTTGTTATTCATCAAGCAATAAATAAATAAATAAATAAATAAATAAATAAATAAAATGCTGTTTCATTTTGTATCTATGAGATAGGTTTTATCCTTACGAAACTTAAGAAAATATCTTCTTTGTACCTTTTGTACCTAGGAAAATGTGAAAGATGTTGAAATTTCTGTAATCTACAATTGAAATGACTAGTTTTTTCTTAAAGTGAAGTAAGAAATTCTACACAAAACTTTAAGAACAGACATCAAGACTGCCCTGTTCTCTTTTTTGAGTTCTTTGCTTTGGACTGTGTATTAGATATGGCCTGATTTTCTACTTTACAATATAATTTCCATGAAGACAATTCATTTTTTTCTTGATGCAATAAACGTGACCTAGTTCCCAGCCTCTTAGATTAACACCAATAATAATCCTAGGGGCCGGGGAGATGGCTCAGTAGGATAAGCGCTTGACTGGCAAACGCAAGGATCTGAGTTCAATCCCCAGTTCTGCAATAATAATAATAATAATAATAATAATAATAATAATCCTTACCACATGATATTCATATCCTAGAGTGTTGTTAAATATTCTGACTCAAATTCTGTACAGCAGAATTCATGTGATGTCACTCCCTAGTTAGCTTAAAAAAGATTGTAGCTTTTGTGTTGGGTGCTATATCTGATTCTCTCTCTTCAATGTCTCATTATCACTGTAATAGTTGATACATTGTGTTGTGTCAATTTGGGAAATTGAAGACTTGTCTGGATTGTCTCAGTGACTCCACACCCTGGGGCATGGAGGCCCTTCGTAGAGAGTAGAGGTCTTCCCTAGGTTTTGGAGGGCTCACCCTAGAGTGATTCAGTACTAATAGGATATAAAAAGGTATTGGAGGAAGGACAGTTAGCAGTACTTCCTCTAGGGAGCTCAAGTCTTTGCAGTCATCATGGAAGGAAGAGAGGCTTGCTAGACACTGCAGCTGCTGCTTTTCCCTTTGTTCTTTGTTGTTTTCTGCCCATGTGAACTGCTACCCTCTGGCATGTGCCAGTCTGCCTTGGAGCCAGCCAAGTATGAACTGGAATCTCCACTAACTGTAAGCTAAATAAACATTTCCTTCCTTAATTTGGAGTCTTGGGTATTTTGTGCTAGCAATGAGAGAAGAGTAACCAAGATAGAATTTGGTACAAGAGAAGTGGGATCTTTTCTGTGACTAGACCTGACAATGTGAATTACGAGCTTTTGGGAATGGCTTATTGGAAGAGATAGGAATGGTTTGGAGATGTTGCCAGTTAGCAAAGCACTGGAATTCCTTTGGTTCTTCTGTATGGAAGATTCTGGTCTGAGTTCAGAAGACTAGAATGCTGACAGAACTCCTGCCTGTAAAGACCAGGTTGTGGATGTTTCTGATAGGAAGAAGGACTGCATTGGTTATTGGACTCCAGATTATTTGTGCTATGGCTTGGCAGAAGGTTTGTCTGCATTTTGCTCATGTCCAGAGGCTTTGCCTGAGACTGAGATTAAGCATGGTGGACTGGCTAATCTGGCAAAGGAAATTTCAAGACAGTTGAATGTTGAGGCAGTGGTATGGCTCTTGTTAGGGGCTTTTAGTCAGATTTATGTTGTGAATCAAGAGCAAAGAGCCCAATAGGGTGATTTAAAATGTTGTGAGTTTGGCCAGAAAGGGTGTCAGGAAGGCTGTCAACTGTAAAGATTGAGATGAGATCTCCTTTGCTCAGGAGAATAAATATTATGTCCTGAAGCCATCACAGAAGACAGCAAATCTCTTCCCTTTGCAGCCTCAGAACTGCATGGGTGTAGGACTTTGCTTTGAGGAGAAACCACAGAGCCTCATATTCCAGAATGGAGGGAGCAGCCACACCAGGTTCCACAATGGCAGTGGCATAGAGAATTTGTTCCTCAGAATCAGGGTCAGAGTGATCAATAATCCAGCTATTCAACCCCTACAGCCAAGAGAGAAGAAAACCTGGCTACTGCTCCAACTGTCAGCAGACCATGACATCATTTATGTGCCATTAGTTTTAGGCACATGCAGAATGCAGGAGTTCTGGGGTTGAGAAGGCTCCCACCTAGATTTTAGAAGGCCTGAGAGGCCAGGCAATGTGCCACTGGGAGAGCAGTGTGTAAAGATATGAGAGAGAAGACCATTCAGTGGAAATGCCAGAAGTCTGGAAATACCAAGAACATGGATTGTCCAAGGAAAGCTGCAAGGAGGGAGCAAAGCTAGTCTCAGAGAAAAGCCATGAGAGCTATCAGCAAAAGTTCCATAGAGGTGGAGCCATGTAAGGTTTTTGGAGCTCACAACTTATTACAGATTTCTTTGGATGGTCCACATGGAACTATAAGCTTAATGTTTGCCCTGCTGGATTTTGGAATTGTTTTGGTTCTAAAGATTTGTGTCCTGCTGTGTGTACCTTTGGGAATGGTAAAGTTTATCTTGTGCTGGAAGTATTTAACTCTTCATTTGTACAGGAGCTAAGAGCTAAGAGTTTGCCTTATATCATGGAGGAGACTTGGGTCTTGGACTTGCTCATGTTCAGGGACTTTGCCTGAGACTGAGGTTAAGTGTGGTGGACTGGTTAATCTGACAAAGGAAATTTCAAGACAGTTGAATGCTGAGGCAGTGGCATGGGGATTGTTGGGGGTTTTTAGTCAGATTTATGTTGAGAATCAAGAGCAAAGAGCCAAGCAGGATGACTTAATATGTTGTGAGTTTGGCCAGAAAGAAAATGCCAAGAAGGCTGTCAATGGTAAAGACTGAGTTAGTAACCTGTTAGGATTTTGGCAACTCTTGCAAATAGACTAAGTGCCTTTTGCATAAAGGCATGTTCATGAGTCTTTAGGAGGACAGCGGCAGGATGTTATGGTTCTTAAGAATTGTTAAAGTTGTTTTACAATGTCCAAGTTGTAAAATGTTAAGAATAAGCATGTCTATGCACATAGAAAATGTTTTAATGAAATATGTCTAGTTGCCAAGTTGACAAGGGGTGGATTGTGTCAACTTAGGAAGATGAATTCTTGATTGAATCTGCTCAGTGGTCCCATGCCCTGGGAAATGGAAGTTCCCACCCTAGAGTATGGAGGTCCTGCCATATCACATGAAGAGCCCAACCTAGAGTGATTCAGCATTTAGAGGATATATAAAGGGACTGCAGGAATGATGGTTGGTGGCACTTCTTCCTAGGAGGTCTGGTCTTCACAGTCAGCATGGCAGGAAGAGAGACTTGCCAAAATACTGCAGCTGCTGCTTTCCCCTTTTGCTTCTTGCTGTTTTCTGCTGCTGTGAACTGCTGCCCTCTGCCACGTGCCAGTCTGCTATACAGTGAGCTGACTATGAACTGAAACCTCCATAAGCTGTGAACTAAATAAATCTTTGCTTACTGACTTTGGGGTGTTGGGTATTTTGTCTGAGCTATGAGAAAAGCATAACTAAGACAATCATGAAACACCAAAGATGCCATGTTGTATCATAGGATAATAAACTGAAAAATGTGTGTGTAGCAAAGATTTGAAACCTGCCAGAAACCATGTGAGATATTGACAACGTATACTTTTCCAATTGAGAATTGAGATGATAAGATATCACAAGACAGAATCATCCAGGTAAGCTGCCCACAGAATTCCTGAACCTTCCAAGCTGTAAAATAAGTGCATGTCATTCCTTGCCAATAATTTTTCAATGAATTTGTTATTAATACACTAATTTGTTACTAATAAAGATGACTCATTGCCAATGAAATCAGGTTGATTCACACAAGTGTCTGAAGTATAGGAATGAGAAATTTGCAATTGATATTATAAGCCATTTTATTTCTTCAACAGTTAAAATAATACATTAACAAATCTTTTATCATAAAGAAATAACACGTGAACCTTTCTGAATGTGACTATGAGAGATAACTGGTGCTACTGAGCTCTTCAATGGTTATATAATTCAAAGGCTAAATGACTGGCTATATCTTCAGGATAAGATTTAAATCATTGGATAGTTTTTTTGAAAGACTTAGAATCAATAAGGCGTTCTGAAATGAAACCTTGTCCTTTGAAGAGAGAATACCCTGTATTTCTTATATGCAAGGCCCCTGGTCAAAGATATGGAGTGTTATTGTGAGACAGTCAGTCTGGCTCTTGAACTATCTTTAATGTATCTCTTGAGCTACTTTGTAGAGTAGGTGGAGCATGAGTTAGAGGTTGGTGACTGATTTAACAACAGGAAATGCAAATATTTAAATCCTCAACCTACCTCTGAATTGTAGCCATTAGTGCCACAAGTTTTCTTTGATTCTTGTATCTCATAATAATAATAATATGGGTATGGTTTACCACTTTGAGAGACATGGCAGCTGTCATCACCAGGTAAATGATGATCTTGCTATCTGAGTAAGGCAGTGACAGGCTAACATCTTCTTCTCTGGTTGTATAAGACTAGGACCCAAATAAGGAAGAAAGAAGAGTAAGATGAAAGATGTCAGTCCCACAGCTGATCATCAGGGGCTCCATGCTATGAGTGGTTTTAAATTTCCAGAGAAGAAGTTTCCAATACAGAGCAATTACAGGTCACAGCCCTATGGCTTGGCTGGTTTTATCAATCTGGCAGTTTAGGGTCAGTGAAAAGGCCATGCCCAGAACCTAGAAAAACAAGAAGAAGTGTGAGGCTTTCATAAGAAAAAAAATGTCATTTCAACACATTCTAAAAATTGAATTTATAGAAAAAGAAAACATAAAATACTTGAGGATAATCCTTCTCATCATTACTTCCAATTACCTTAGGAGCTCTGTCTTGTAGATTAAGGAGAACAGGGTGTAATGGAGTGGGAAATACAATGGCAACATCATGAAGTATAAAGGTTGGGGATAATCAGCTTTTGTAAAAAATCCAAAACTTCTGCTGCTGACACAGTCACGTTTTCCTTCCTGAACATGGTGCAGCGTGTTGTCTCTCCTATGCCCTAGCCTTCTTGGTTTCCAGCAGGGAAACATCAATTTTCTCTCAGCTTCCAGATTAGGCCTTAAATAAGCTGATACACCCACACTTGGGTGGAAAACTGTTGCAAATATTACACGACAAAAAGAACATGAACTACTCTCCACTCACCCTTTATTTGTAAAACTCAGCACAAAAACAAAGAATGACTATAACTTCCACAATCACTCTTTGTTTAGCATACAATGTCAAGCATTTCATGTGTGCTGTTTCTTCCAGTTAAATTGAGGAGGGGATTGATTTAAAGTTAGGTTTTACCTGGGTAGTTTTAATTTGGCTCTTTTATCTCTGAGGGTGAAATTGGGTAATACATATTCTTAAAACTTATTTTCTCTATCCCTTAAATCAAATTGGCAATAACACTATTTGATGCTTGACTAGGGAATTCATATACTGGTAAAAGTAGATAACATTTATTACTCATATATTATGTATCTACTGTTATTCTAAAACCTGACATGACTTAACTCACTTAATTCTCATTGTATTATGAGGCTTTAGGTCTTACCTGGATCATGCATATACAGATGATAATGATTCCAATGTACAGGAAATTGGAATGAAACCACTCCTGTGTTTTCATATAACAACCCTAGGGAAGAAATGACAGATACAAGTGATACTGCTTTATAATTCAACTTTATGAGGAGAATTATTTGGGAAGGTAATTTGTATTTTATCTTATTTAAACAGATTTGTGTCATGTATTATATTTTTATTTTCTTTGGATGGATAAAGAAACCAATATTAAAGTGGAGACTCTTCTGTTGCTAGTGCCAGTATAATGGCACTTAATGTAGAAACTTGAGATCCTCACTGACAGCATTAAACTAGCTCTCAAGAAGGAGGTTAAAATAGATTTCATTATGTTCTCTGAACACTTACTTTTCAACTAGTACTTTAAATCATGATCTAGGCTATGCAATCCTAGATTTAACTTGAATGTCAATAACTAGTGAGTAGGGCTGGTGAGATGGCTCAGTGGTCTAAAGCACCTACTTAGAACAAGCTTAGCAAAGCACAGGGACCGCGGTTCAATCCCCCAGCACCACATGCCAGCCAGCGCCACCCCCTGGTGGGCTGAGCTGGCCACACACACACACACACACACACACACACACACACATAAATAAAAAAAAATAATAATAACTAGTGAGTTCATCATAGCCCTACTATATGCCAGAGGCACTGTTGGTTAATGTGTACTGCTGTTTTTTCTCCATATACTAAAGAATACTGGAGATTCTCAAGCCACCCTATGAGTGGACAATATGTGGCAAAAACAGGATCATATGGATTTGGTCTGATTGGAAGATGACTTTTCTGGTTTGAAGACAGGCAGGTTGTTTAGGCAGTTAAAATAATCATCTCCCAAACCCCAAATCCTTCATTTATCTTTCAATCCACTAAGGGGCAGAGTCTCACCATCTACAAAGAAGCATTAGGAACATAAGAAACAGGACAATATTTTCTAACACAAAGATATGAATATCAAGAATTTTACCAAGAAATTACCTTAATTCCTGGCTCTGAGGGGCAAGATGCTGGTGGATCCCTGTTCCAGTCACTTGTGTGATTTACACCACAACAATGCAGCTAAAGCCAAACACCCCAAAACATCATGGTTAGATTGAAAAATGAGAAACAGAAATCAAACTGGAGCTTAGAAAAAGGGTGGCTCTTCAGATCTGAACCTATAGCAGAAACTCCAAGTCCTATCAAATCTGTGATTCTATTTCATTTATATCAGATCTCTGTGAAGTAGAGAGGCTAGGTTTAATTTATTCATATTTTATGATCACTAATTATGTAGTCAGAGGCCTTATAAGGAAATATCAAGCTAACATGTTTAGATTTTCCAACTAGACCACAAAAAACAGGCCAAATGCACACTATGTGCCTGCTTATGTGATACAACAAGTACCAACTACAGTAGTCTTTCTATAAAACAGAACCTTATCAAGCTTCATACACAAAGCTTGTAGAAAAGAAAAATCCCTCACACAAAAGAAACTTCAAGCAAGTGACTGGTCGGATGTAAAAAGTGGAGAATTTTATAGGAAAAATCACATAATTTCTTTCCACAAACATGTAGCATAAGTAAAATATACTATCTCATATTAAAAGGAAACTAGGGAAACAATATTCAACTATAATGTATGGATCTTATGTAGATTTTTATTTGAACAGATCCATTAAGATAATTTGAAGAAAATTAGGATCATTTTTATTATAGATTGCCTATTGATGATATTGAATAGGTAAAACACCATCATGTTGAATATTTGCTTTAAAATAGTCTAGCAAAGCTCAGTGCCTCCCAAGCAAGCACAAAGTTCCAAATTCAATCCCTGGTACAATAATAATAATAATAACAACAATAATAATAATAATATAATAATAATAATTTAAAATAATGTAGCAAAACATATAAAGTGGATTAGATGAGATAACACTGGTCAACTTTCAAATTGATGATATGGGCCCAGAGATTAATTGTGCTAACATTGTTTTACTTCTGCACATAAAAATTATATAATCAAAAGACTTTTAAACTAAATTGAAAAGAAGTGAATTGGGATTTAAAGAATTTAAGTGACTTTCCCAAAGCATTTCAATTCTAGACTAAGTTCTCTCATTCCTATTTTATTCCTTCTACTCGACACTAAGCCTGCATGTGTTCCCACTGTCATTGAGACATGGACAGTGCTTGTATAAAGCTCCTTAGCCCTTTCTTATTCCCTGATATCCTGAGTTAATACATATTTTTGTGGATGGGTGTGGGTATAAGGAATAGAGCAAAGGAAGCCAGGTGACGAGCTTAATTTGAGTGATGGGAATTCCGCAGAGATATCTTCTACTATATAACTGCTGGCTTTGGTAAAATATGGAAAACAGATAAAGTAAATCAATATGATATATTTAGGTTTTCTTCACAACTTATTAGGGCTTAAGCCATGAGGTTATCTGAGCTGGTAAAGGATAAACAAAAAATGTAGACCACCTTGCACCAATTGGACTGATTTTTTCCCCACTCCTCTACCCCCTCTCCCTGTTTGTATTGTCAAGGAAATATTCTAGAGCTAAGGACCATAGACAGTAGACTGAAACTTCCAGGAAAGGTGTGCTAATTCCCAGAGATTAAGGCTGTAAAATGAAGTCTGGACTCTTTCTGAGAATTCCAGCCGTACTCACAAACGACTGGATTGAATCCCATGCCGCCTTCGTGCTGTTGTCCACGTAGTAACGATGGATACTCTCCGTCAGACCCTCAGCCACATAACTATTCAGCTGGGTGGAGCATGTTCCAGGGGAGAAAATGTTGTAAAAAGCAAGTGAGTTCATAGTTTTCCTAAGAACTATGATAGTGAGAGGAAGGTTTATTGCATATAACAAAGAAGTGCTGGAGATGAGATGACATTGAAAGAAAAAGGATACAATGGAATCTTATTTTTCCAGACCTATGGTTTTTACCTAGGAGTAAAAGGGTGGCTAGAACAAGGACTATCCTTGAGCACTGAGACATTCTTCATCAACAATGAACAAGAAAAGTACTTAGAATATACACTTGCTTTACTGTTCTTTCCAGTTGCCTTTTAAGGCACACTCAAAAATCTTTTATAACATTGTTTCCCTAATTACAATTAATCTCGGTTTCCACAATCTTCTAGTTGATTCTTACATGTATTATAAAGATTTACTTTGTACTGCACCCTCTCCAGTTTCAGAAAAACATCATTAGTTGTGTTCTTTATAACTTACCTTCTGTTCATACACAAAGAGCAGGATGGCCAAGGTCACCTCAGCAAGGAGAATAATCAGCAGTAGGACAAAAAACTGGGGAAAAGAGAGACATCGTGACCATGATGTCAGTGTCTGACCCACTACATTTGCCTGAGCAACATGCAAGCAGATCTCTGCACGTTAGCAGGGTATTTTATTTCCCCCTCCTTAGGGCTTTGTATACCTTCTCTTGTTTTATAATAAATGTGTGTTCTTTTCTTATACCTTCATTTTAAAATCAGATCATCAGTTTTGTGACTTTGTTCTCTGATGTTCAATTATGCCCATTAGAATAACAGGCACATCATACATATTCAACACTATCCAAGGAATAAACGAAGAGTTTGGCAACTATTGATATCGATCTATTTAAACAGTTGAGCAAAGCACAGCAAACTAAACCACGTATCTTACAGTTCTGTGACTGGCATTTTCTACTAGAGCAAGGCTACCTCAGAGAGAAGCATGGATGGTGGTGAAAGCTGAGAAGTGCCTTGTACAGATTAGAGAAAAGAGATACACTGTTATTATTCCTAAAGGTTGTTCTGAATGGGAAAGAAGATGGACCAAATGACTTAAGAAGAACCAACTTGATTGCAGACCCATAACTCTGGGCTACAGAGGCACAGTCCTAGCAGGATATGTTTGGAGAATACTAGAGATAGGCAGCACTCTTCTTTCACAATGTTTGCAGGCAAAACCTAAGTCTGAATGTGTTTTCCAGTATGTTTATACAGGAAATAATTGAGGAGGTCTAGCATCTCTCACATTTGACCTCAATGGATGCAGCTATAGCCACCACCTAAGTTGGATCACTCTCACTGTAGGGTATCTTGAGCATATAGGAGTTAAAGAGCAACCTCTGCTTTTTTAGGAATATCTTTATGGTTAAGTCTAATAATTATTTTTCCATCAGTTAGTGACTGTAAGTCAGATCCCGAAGTATGTTCCAAACTGAGAATTTAGGTGGATGGATAACACTTGACTTCAACCACAAGTGAAAAATTTTGGCAAAAATCTAAATGATGTGAAAGGAATTATAATGACAAGAGTCAGTATTAACAATGCACAATACATGGCAAAGAAGACAGTAATGCCCTCTCCAACCTATTTCTAGAATACAAGTCAGAAACAAAATATTGGTCTGGATAGATGTGGCCTATCTGAGGTGCCAACCTCATAATTTCTCTGTGTCTATACATGATCTACTAAGAAACCTATTGCCTGGGACTTGCAGCATCATCTATCATTGCCGTGATATAGAACACCAAATGCTGTGAGGACTTACCGACATAAGCAGACACTTATTCTCCTTGATAGAGCCCATGCAGCCCAAAAAGGCTACCACCATGATAATGGAGCCCACAATGACGAGGACATTCCCCAGTGTGAGGAAGGGGAGCTTATGGAAGAGCACTCCAAAGTTGTTGTGGATCAGGAAGTAGATCCCAAAGCCCAAAATGCAACAGCCACAGAACTACAAGAAAAAAAAATAAACAGTAACATGCTGAGATAAAATATGGTTCTTGAGCATCTGCTCATTCACATTCTCAAATTTCTGAGATCAAAATCCTGTTTTCATACTTTCAGCCAAGACTATCATTAACCATTCATATTCCAAGTTTCCCCCTAGTCCTAGAAAAGAAGAAATTCCTACATTTTCATATGGATTCCCACTCATCTCCCATCCTACCCATTTTCAGATACCAACAAAAGATCACCCTCGTAAGTCACACAGAACTTTCACCATAGACAAACTGATGGTATGCTTCAGATATCCTACTCCTTGTCCCTCAATTGTTCACACATGGTTTCCTTTTGGAAACTACTATCTGGTAGAAGAGATGACTTGCTTAAGAAGCTAATCTTTCTTGGAAAAAAAATACTAGAGAAGCCAAATTGTAAGAATTTTACTATAAGGTGAGGCATGGTGCCACATGCCTGTAATCCCAGCACTCAGGATCCTGAAACAGGAGGATCCTTGCAAGTTCAAGATTAACCTGGGCTACAAAGTGAGCGCAACGTCAGCCTAAGCTATATAGTGAGACCCTGTCTTTTAAAAAAAGAATCTTATTATATGCATATGACCTCCAATCTACCTTATATATAAATTTCAATTGCTGCATTTAATAGGGGAAAACATTCTAAATACCTAAATTTTCATATATTTCTCATCTATAGCTGTCAGATGTGGATAGCAGCCTAAAACTCCCAAAGAAAAACAATCCATTAATAACAGCACTGATATCTTTCAGTTCTGTAAGTTTATCCTATGGTAGGATAGGAAGAGATAAAACTTTTACTCATTTCTTCTGAACCTTGATGTGCAAGACATGACAGAAATATTCATGAGTTTCATTTCATGCCATACTGTTTTTTGGTTTTATGGTTTTTGGTTTTTGTTTGTTTGTCTCAGACAGTTTCTTTGTAGTTCAGTTCAGGCTGACCTTGAGCTCACTATGTAGCCCAGGCTGGTCTCAAACTTTGGATGATCCTCCTGCCTCAGCATTTGAAGTAATGGGATTATAGGATTACACCACCACAGCCATCCAGCTCATGCCAGACTCTTTATATAGCAAGAAGGCAAGCTCACTAGGGAAAAGGTTAGCTCAAGCATGCTCAGAAGAAACACACTTACCCAAAAGAGCAAGTTGAAGAAAAATAGGACATACTTCAGCAATTTCAAGCTACTCATGCCCATCCTGTAATTTCCTTGCCCTAAAAAATAGAAAGAAAGGAAGTAAGTAATCCAGCTCTGAAACATGTTACCAGAGACTCAAAGCACACTTTGTTAGGGTTAAGATTGATCAGCATCCCTTTGGGCTTGAGCTTTCACTCCCTCTGTTTCTCCAAATTGCCTTCCCTCTTAATTTCTGATATGAGATACCCTTTGCTCATGTTTAACACTCACTTTTACTCCCAGTTCGGCAAGCAATACTTCATATTGAACAAAGCACTGTAGTGATTTGATTAGCCAGTTTCTTAAATACCTCCAGGTTTATATATTAATTTGCATAAATCTCTATACTAAAAGTAAGGAGTTACCATACCTATGCCTTCTTGTAGCTTTTATTGCAGAAACATTTATGGTATTTCCTGTTCTGCATGCTGTGGAAGATGGGGATAGGACTAAGTAGTTTCTGTCCTCCAGAAGATGTCAGTCTTACATTAGAAATAAAACAGGCCAACAACTACATAATGAGGAAGTGAAAATAGCACACTGAGTTTCTTAAAAATATAACAATTTCTTTTTTTTTTTTTTTTTTTTTGCGGAACCAGGGATTAAACTCAGGCCCTTGCACTTGCCAGGGAAGCGCTTATTCCACTGAGCCATCTCCCCAGCCCTGCAAAATATAATAATTTCTAAGATGGTATATCTATGCTTAAGATCTTTTCCCCAGTTCTAGAGATCCAGATATAATCTTTCCGAATTTTCTCTCACAGGTAATAAGATCCAATTTACAGACTAATTTTTTTTAAAAAATATGATATTTTATTGTAACATCAATAATTATACATTTTTGTGGTAAATACTTAACCATGTATTTATCATTTTGTCACAGATAAAAATGTGAATCAAAAGAATATAACATCTAAAAAAATTATCAGAATTACAAAATGTTGTGACAAGCCCAAGCTCAAGACAGCAAGTGTGGGGTGAGCTCCTGTGCTCCCCTGCGCTGGTTGGATCTCCCCAGATCAAGCCCAGGCCAGCCCCATGAGTGACACCTTCCTCCATGCTCTCGGAAACCTTTCTGCAGCACTCTCTTGGGACCCAGCTACCCCTATACAAAATGACAAAGAGAGGGAGCAAAATGCAATCTCAGGCCCAGAGCCAACCCAGAACAAGTGCAGAGGACATGAACACAGGAGAAACTGGGAATCACACAGCTGAAATATCTGAAACAATAGCATCTGAAGAAAAGAAACAACTGCAGAAAAGTATAGAGGAACTCAGATCAACAATAACCTGTGAAATAAAAAAAGAAATCTGTGAAGTAATAGCATCTGAAGTAAAGAATCAAATGCAGAAACATATAGAAGAAATCAGATCAGAAATACTCTCTGTAGTAAAAGAATTAATAACTGCTTCTCAAGAAGATACAGATAAAAAAAGTAGAAGAGATAAGAAAAGCGAATGAGCAATACAAGAGAGAAATAGATCGCATGAAGCAAAGTCAAAGAGATATAGAGGAACTTAAAATCTCAATCACAAGCTTGCAAAACTGTTTGAGTGAAAGTGAAGAAAGAGTTTCAGGTCTTGAAGACACCGTTGCACCAAGTGAAAAGATAAGAAAAGACCTCTTAAAAACAACTGGGATTCAGGAAAAAATAATTTGTCACCTGCAAGACGATATAAAGATGAACAATGTGAGACTAATAGGCA